AATTTTCCGGCGAAACTTCCAGCGATGATAACTCCCAACTCCGGCGACTTCGGTGGCCACCAACTACTGCAGCATGTTCTCCTCACTCTCAAGAACACTTTGGTACTAAACTCATTAGTTTTTGGTGAGGAATAAGAGGGTTGATGGTGGCCTTATATAGGAAGAGAATGGGGAAGGTGACAACATTTGCTGCGTAGGATTTGCGTAGGAATGCATCCTCGATCGGCTGAGTGGAGTAGGAGGCGCCGTCCCTGATTGGGACTAATTTTGGTTCCAGTCGGGTACACTTTTTGGTACAACTTTCTCCGAATTGAAATCCGTTTGCATCATTGCGATCGTGCAATTAAACTCTATCCAACGATATAATTTTTATATTTATTCGTTATACTTTTTCCGACATCATATTTTTGGGTGGTTGACTTTGACAGAGTCAAAATTGGCCTTTATTCAAAAAGGTTCTCACATTTAATTCATATTATTTATTCCCATGATTTATTTCAATAAATCATTTCAAAGTTCACATTATAAACAATTTCTTCATTTATTCTTAATTTGGGTCTGTACTCAGGTTCCCAATCAAGATCACACAATAAATCAACATGTTGGATTTATCTCTATAAGATTTATCCCAATTATGTTTATTGGATATCAATATATATTTTATTCAAGCCCAAATCCCAACAACAATTTATTTTAATCAAAACAATATTTGTTTAATTGAATATTTAATTCAATAAATTTTAGGGTATATTTTGGGGCGTTACAATATACAAGTTTGGTGAATAATAGTTTACGAATAAACAGTGATACAATGCCAAATCATCATGATGTATGGGTAAGACTGCGCAGGGACCCCCTACCCTTCGATGATCATCCCCACGCGGTAGATGAGCCGAGGAACACCTTATTCTTTCCGATAGAGACTAGAAATGTGGGTGATAGCTGAAAGCCTAGCTACCATGTACGTACACAAGCCCTCATGATGAACCCGTTGGATCCCCCAGGCTCCTGAACGGGCCCGCGGAAGAGGCGCACTAGGCCTGACCTCTTTTCGCGGTATGCAAAGTATGCCATGATCCAAAACATGTGTCTAGGATATGATGATATGAATGCATTGCTTGACGAATGAAATTACGTTCAACGCATACACATAGGTTGATACCGTATGAAAATGATGTGTTCAATATGACGGCCTTGGGTTCAGATTGGCTGATAATCGATGATCCATTGTTGATAATCAATTATCATGTTGTGCAGCTTCTGTTCCCAAAGTCCTGCAGACTGTGATAGTCGATTGTCACATATTGTCAATTGATTGTCAAATGATTCTGTCCAGGAAACCCAAGTTCAGAGAGGCCTGATAATCGATTATTGCTTTTGTGATAATCAATTACCAGATGAACCAGCTCTGACTCAAGAATCCGCAGGGCCTGATAGTCGATTATCACATATGTGATAATCGATTGTCGCGCTTTGCTGGATCAATTGAGGAGCCCAGCGTGGCTTGTTAATCAATTACCATGACCTGTAAATCGATTATCAAGGCATGCTGATTCCTATTTTGTCTATTTTATTATAATCAATACGTTGCAAGTGGTTGAAATGAAAGTTTACGTTTCTGTGTTAAGTAATCTATGAGTTTACGGGGTTTCAAACGTCTATATTAACAAGTTGGTAATCGGAAAATCTAAATAATGGGGAAACCATGATAATGTGGACACACGTAGATTTAGTCGGGTAATCCTATGATTATATCGATATGATTCAACTATGAATTCTAAAGTTAGAGGGCAACGTACTCACCTCTAACGTAGCGGTTGACGAAACAGAAAACGGATGAACAAACGAACGAACGAATGAATGAACGGTCGAACGGATGAGCGACTTCACGCGCCAAACCTTCTTCCTTCCTTTCCTCTACCTCGACTTCTTGCCGGAACTCCTTCTCGCCTAGCTGCTATTGGCCGAACACAAAATAGGGAGAGGGAGAGATGGGTGTTATGGATGGTGGGAGTTACAGGGTGTGGTGGAGGAAAATGAAGGGAGATGAAGTTTTATAATCATGAGAAATTATGGAGAATTAATGGATAATTAATTGGGAGTGAATGGGAAGGTGAATGGGGTGTAGTGGCGTGTGGTTAATATTGGGGAGTTACCTCCCATAAATTCACTCTGTTATGTAAAATCTGACCTGAACGGTATGCATCCCCCCCCATGACGGGTCCGAATCGAGATCCGTCTATGTTTTTGGAATCAGACAGTCAAGAAGAATATTTTGACGTGATCAAATAAATTTTTTGAAGACTTTATTTTTCTCGACCCTGGTCCGAGTTAGTAATTAATTAAATTAATTTTATCAATTCTAATAGACCAGGTCGTAGGGCGTTACAAGTGATCTATCCAAGACGTGTTGCAGGCCTACGCTACAGAATTCCTCAAATCACCTTCTCGGCCGCTTCTTTGTATCTCCAATAGCTTCCCTTGTTATAGGTCACAACCAATCATCATGCACCAATGCATATTCTCATGGAGTAATATAAGGCATGATGATGGCTCTCTAAAAAACTCTCTCAATAATATATCCTTTCTATAATTTTCTTTCTCTCAATGCCAGCTACTGGGTGCAGCACAATTAATGCAGTCTCCATCTGATGCAAAACTCTATTACCAAGAGTTGTGTCTTCCATGGAACTTATCTCCAAGACATCTAGTTTCAGCAAACCACTCTTGCTAAGTGTTTCAATGAGCCCAGACTCCTTGCAGTAAAGGAATCTTCGTACAAGCAAGTTACAACTCTAATCTGATATCATGAAGGATGACTGACATGATGCTACAGCTCTATACTCAAAACGGCTAAAGACATATAGTTTTGTCAAAAAATAATGCCAACCATAATAAATAAACTTATAACCTAGGGAACCCACAATCTGCCCCTCTGGCAATCTTTTGAAAAAAACTACTACTCAACCGTTTTCAACCTCTTCTCCCCCTTTTTCCCAAAAATTCCAAGTTTTATTTAATAATGGGGAAAACATGTAGAGTAACATTCATCTGATAAAGAGTAAGAACAAAATATATAATCCTAAAGGTATAGAGTTATACCTACATCACGTCACCTCTGTAGAGAGATCTCTGTAGATGAGAGCAGTCAACCATAAACCAAAAAGGACCCAAAATATAGAGTAGAGTAGTTGAATGATAATAGAGTCATTGTCATGATAAGCATAGCATCCAAAATAGAACATGTAACACCCTAATCCGTCCAGGTCTGCAGCCCCTTTCGGACTAAAGTATTAACTTGGTAATTATAAAAATATAAAACATTTCAAACACTTTTAGTTATCACAATAATAATTTTCATACCATAAACAGTACAGAGTATTCATCAATATTGCGGAAGCGAAATTAAATGTTGTCATATCACAATAAATTAATTCAAGATTTGTCACATCCAGCCTGACTATCTCTCCTCCGTCTACCTCCAGGATCACGTCACATCATTCTTTCTATTAGCCTGCGTGTAGCAAATAAAACACACTACACACTCAGCGGTAAAGCTGAGTAAGCATATCTAATGCGTCGAACATCCATATAAATTGAATCTCAATTCATAATCAAATCATTTGATACCATGCACAAAATCTTCAGTTCAGATATTCAATAATCAGTATTCAATATTCCTCATTCAATATTCAATATTCAACATTCATATTTAATATTCAACAATATCCTTAAACTATGCTTAGTATAAGGCAAATCCCTTTAATGTTTAATAACTCTTAAACTAATTCTAGTTTAAGGTACTTCTAACCAACTCCTAAAATAATTTTAGTTTAAGGTACTTCTAACCAACTCTTAAACTAGGTCATTAGTTTAAGGTACATATTTTCCGACCGATTTACCAACTCTTAAACTAGCCATCACTTAAGGTACAATCTAGAAAACCGAACAACAGAATACTAACTGTCGGGTTGGGTGGTATCACCAAACGAGTGCCTCTAGTTTGGTTTGTAGATCCCGTACGTATTTTTAACCCAGGCCACCGAATATTCATAATTATACCCGCAAGGCCTATTTCTAAGCCATCTTAGAGGTCTTTCAGATAGTCTTAAACACCAACATCAATATATCTTTGAGTTCTTCTAGATATCCTTAATAGTCATTATCAATTCCAAATGGATATATCTTAGAGTTCCTCTAGATATTCTTAACAATACAAATCATTTCATAATCATCAATACATTCATTTTTAATCATGATTCAGTCATTCACAATAATCATTTTAATCAGTAGGTTCATCAATCATAATCATCCATCATAATCATCAATCAACATAACATTCAAAGCAATAGCAATTAACGGTCTAGCTTTGGGTGTTAACACCCTAGCTTACTGTCATGCATCACATAAGGTCTTTTGAATTTTCAAAACACCATTTTTATTCCAGGAAATCATCTTTATAATAATTATAATTGATTGGTATCAAAAATAGGATTTTAGAGCTCAAAAATAGCATTTTCGAAAAAAAATTTCAGATCAGATTTTCGGGGGATCGATCCAGCCCTCTGGATCGATCCAAACTAGAAGAAATACTCCCATCGGATCGATCCAGAGCATATGATAAATCCAGGAAGTGAGTTTTGGGTCACTGTTCATCTTCTTCAACCTTCGGTTCATTTTTTGGAAATACCATTTTTAGTTACCGAATTTCAACTAAATTATATAGAAATGTTCTCCAAGGTTCATAGATCATTTTGGCATCATAAATTTATAGTTTTAACATCAATTTCATGGTTTATGATTATTGGTTCTTCAAGCATGTCAAACACAAAACTCAACTAAACAACCGCTTATGAACGTAAAACGATCTATACGAAAATTCTAGTCACTAGATATATTTACGGACTTACCTCGAAGCTAAATGGAGGTTTTGAATATTTTCCGACGAAACTTCCAACAAGGATTACTCTTAGCTCCGGCGACTCCGATAGAAACTAACACTAGCAGAATGCTCTCCTCACTCGGAGGAACATTGTGACACTAAGTTTATGTAGTTTGGTGGAGAAATGAGAATGGTTAGGTTCCATTATATATGACAAGAATGGAGATGAGGCCAATGGTTCCTGCGTCACCTTTTCTGTTTGAGCGGCTAATGGAGCGGACGGTGATTTCTTCCCATTTTAAACGCAAGTCCCTGATTGGACCAATTTTGGTTCCAATCAGGGGATAATTTTTTTTCCCAACTTTCTCTGAATTGAAATCCGTTTGCACCATTGCGATCGAACAGTTAAACTCTATTCAATGATATAATTTTTATATTAATTTGTAATACTTTTTCCGACATCATATTTTTGGGTGTTTGACTTTGACAAAGTCAAAATTGGTTTAATTGACCTTTATTATCAAAGGCCAATTTTGTTTGACATGACATTTAATTCACATTATTTAGTCTTATAATTTATCATTTCAATGTTTAGATCATAAACAAATTTTTCATTTACTCTTGATTTGGGTCTGTACTCAAGTTCCCAATCAAGATCACACAATAAGGCAACATTTTGGATTTATCTTGATGAGATTTATCCAGATTGTGATAATGGATATCAAAACATATTTCGTACCGGCCCAAAGCCCAACAACAAATTTTATTTTAATCAAAACAAATTTGATTAATTGAATAAGTATTCATTAATAATTCTAGGGTATGTTTTGGGGCATTACAGAACATGTTCAAAGAGAGAGAGAGTGAAAAGAGTTTAATGTAACGAGAGCAACGAGGCAAAACAACCTCAAATCCCAAAGTAAATCTCAATAAATGTTTTTTCAATTAAGGAAACAAAATATTTTTCATCATCCTCCCCCTAGTGAGACTGTCCTCCCCATCCCCAGCCTTTGTACTCCCAGTTCCTTCCTCCTCCTCAGAAGCTGTCTCCTCTGAATCTAGGGCCTCATCCCTAGCCATTTTTGGAAGCATCACCAGCTTCTCCTTTTCTGCCTCCAGCTCCTCCTGCATCTTGTGACACTTGCCCAGCTCTTCTCTGACCTCATGTAGCTTCTGCTCCAAAAACCTCACTAGTGATGATTTTTTTGCTGTCCTGTCTGAGGAAGATCATGTTATCATCATATCATTGAAGTTCTTTCCTACAAGATGCCTTCCATCTATTTATAGTAGAGGTTGTTTAGGTTCTACCTCCTTTGTTTCTTCTCTACAAAAGCCTTGTCACACAAAAAGGGTATAGAGAAGAGTTGGCCGGATAAGGTAGGCAAATAGAGTTCACTTTGTATTTCTCATTTGCAAACAACATAACCTATTCAAAAATCCATTTTCGCTTTGTAAAGGAGGTTTGACATGATTTTGGAGACAGAATTTGTGTGAGTTGTGGGAAGCAGTGTAGAGCTGCAATTTGAAGGATAATGACATAGGTACTTTTCGGGATACAGGAAGGTATTTTGACTTTGTTTGATTGGGATTGTCTAAGACCATTTTTTAGGTTTTTCCACATAACCTTCTCAGAAATAATCTTCTCTTTTGGACATGGGATAAATTCCAAGAACTCATTTATGAGGGCAGGGGAAAATTTATAATTCTTACCACAAAGAAACACCTTGAGGTACATGGGACTGGAGGAATCACTACAGGACTCAAAGGTATTGTAGAAGAAATCATGAATAACAAACTCGACATATGACACTTGAAGTGTGACAGACTTCAACAGATTTGATTTTTCAAGAATAGACAACAGATTGGTTTTGGACTTAAAATCCTCAATGTCTATGCATCTATGAATAATCACATATTTCTTGAAAACAAAAGACAACAATGGTTTTGCTTTAAGAGATGCGAAAAGAGAGACAGAGGACTTTCTTGTTTTCGCCTTCTTTTTCTCTACACAGGTCTTGGATGAAGCAAGGGATTCTTGCACGTACACCTTCTTTAGGGCTGGTTCTTCAGAGGAGGGCTCTTCATCTACCTTTAGTTTACGCTTTGACCATCATTGAGGCACTCGTACAACCTTCTCAACCTTCTTCTTGCTCTTTTTGCTCTTCTTCTCTTTCTCATCCTTCTCGAAAGGAACTTCAGACACAGCAACTAAGTGCTCTTCATCAAGAATCTTTAGGAACTCTTCATCAGTGGTGATCATCTCCTTCGGAGTTGGTTTTGGGGCAGCTTCCTCTCGCAATCTTGAAGTTGACTTCTTACAACTAGGGATGTGAAGGATTCGGAAACTACCTTTTCTTGTGCATCTCTCTCTTGAATCATGATATTTTATAAACAGTATCTTGGGCAGGTTTCAAGCTGGGGTTAAGCATACATCATCTTCGATCTCTTGCAAGGGCTAGGGTTTCTTTTTCTCGTTGATGGATTTTGAGCGGATGAAGGTATTTCAGAATGTGGAATCCACTTTTGTGTGTGATGTTGTTTTCAAAATTTGAAACGGAGTGAGTCTCTTTGTTTCATGTGTACCGACAGTGTCCTTTAAAGCCGTACCATTAATTGCTATCCTGGTGGGAGTAGACGTCTAGCAAATATAAGAAATATGAACACTTTTAGCTGGAACTCCCGTGTTCATGCAAAACTTTTGTTTCAGAATAGTGCACACAGACCCAAATTGGATTTGAGACTCTCTCAAACCTGTTCCCATCAAGTGCCTTTGTAAAAATATCTGCTAGTTTTTATTTTGTAGGGATATGCTCCAGATTGACTGTCGTATTTTCAACAAGCTCACGTATAAAGTGATTCTTTATATTTATGTGCTTTGTATGTGAGTGCAAGACCGGAACTCTTGAAATGCTGATTGCACTTATATTATCACAGTACCATGTCCAATCCCATAGTTAGCTAGCATGGACTTCATCCAAAATAATTGTGCACAACAACTACCTACTGCGATATATTCTGTTTCCGTTGTTGATAGTGATACTAAGTTTTGTTTCTTACTCAGCCAAACAACTAGATTTCCTCCAAAAAAGAAGCACCCTCTGGATGTGCTTTTCCAATCATCAATATTTCTTGCCCGGTCAGATTCATTGTACCCAACAAGGTTTGTTGAACCACCCTTGACATACCACAACCCTAGATTCTGTGTTCCTTAGATATATTTCGGGAATCTCTTTATAGGTTTGAGATATGATTCTTTAGGATTTGCCTTATATCTAGCACAAACACCTACACTGTAGCAGATGTCTGGTCTGCTTACAGTGAGATATAATAAGCTCCCAATCATGCCTTTGTACCTTGTTACATCAACCTCCTTTCCATGATCATCTCTGCTGATCTTTTCATGTGTTGGACAGGGTGTTTTAGCACTTTTAGTATCACTCATGTCAAATTTCTTTGACATGTTCAGAGCATACCTTGTCTGTAAGCTAAATATACCTTCTATTGTTTGCTTTACTTGAAGACCAAGGAAGAAGGTTCGTTCATCAATCATGCTCATCTCAGACTCTGTCTCCATGGTTTTGACGAATTTTTAAATTACCTCACATGTAATTTGAATCTAGAAGGTAAGGACGAAGAACCAAATCCCTCAAAGGTTGTAATCTGAATCAAGACCATAGAATGTTTGAGAGAAAGAGAAATACGTAGTACTTGAGATAGAGAAGACCTTAGGCTATGGCCAGCTTTTGAAAGAGAAGATGAAGAACACGGATGAGGGAAGAGAATGGAGCAGACAAAATCCCAAGCCTTTTCATTGGATTTGACAACAAGATTTTTATTTATACTCAAGCCCAAAAGTCCAACACAATCCATATTCTATAATAATCTTTGAGAATCTATGAATTTTTTAATACCATTAGATTTGAAAAGATTTATTAAAATCTCAATTGAATACCTCTTTATTTTTCAAAACCCCAATTGAATACTTCAAGATTTTAAATGATTTTTCAAAATCTTAATTAAAATACAAAAAAATCTATCAAATTCCTAATTGAATACACCTCCCTTAAAGGATTTAAAGAGAGTGTATTTTAGTGTTGACTTTCCATAAATGTCCTTGAATGTGATGGTAAAGGTAGATGTGATAGGTAGACTAATAGTAAGAAACGTGTAATGTGATAGGTAGGTTTAGAATTAGTAGGGGTAAGAGTGATTTTAATAGAAATGAGAATTTTTTTTTGGGACGAATGAAAAGAGAAAGGAGAAAAGTTTTGTGGGATAGAGGGAGTATTAAATTGTTTTAATAATTTTAAATTTAATTTAAATCAAATTTAAATTGATTTACACAATATATAATAAGATAAAATTAGATCCAATTAGATGAGATCAGATTCAACTAGATCAAACCTAATCAGATTAGACCAGATTCAATCAGATCAAATCAGATCCAATCAAATCAAAATTCCAAAAAATCAGATCAGATGTAATCAGATCCTTACTTCATATCCAAATCCAAATTGTAATTCTTTCAACACATAGAAATTTAGCCCAATCGGAATTAAGAAATCACCCTAAATAGAAGTAAAATATAGAAAAATTACTTAAATATGATTTCCATGTTTTTATTCCCTGAATAGGAGTTCATACTGTGATATTATGGCAATGTACATGAGCATCTTACTTTACTTTTTGGTAATGTATGTTGTCATAATTTGTAATGTAAATGAATTTTATCTTTTATTTTGGTAATAAAAACATGAAACTTCTATTTTAGTATATTTTCAATGTCTTACTATCATTTAAATCTTTTTTCCATCAGAATTAATAATCAAGATTCTTTAAAACTATTTCCTTGGTTTCATACTTTCTTTCACTTATTCTTTCTAGGTCAATCCTTCATTTTATACTTTCCTTAATTAATTGAAAAATAAATAACATTCCATTAAGTTTTTGCCCTTATCCAACTACACACATGTTGTAACACCCTAATCCGTCCAGGTTTGCAGCCCCTTTTAGACTAAAGTATTAACTTGGTAATTGTAAAAATTTAAAACATTTCAAATACTTTTATTGATGACAATAATAATATTCATAACAATAATAGTACGGAGTTTTAAATATTTCGGAAGCTTAACAAATCACAATCAAGAACATAATTAATTTATGTCCTTTAATTCAAAGCATCACGTCCATCCCGACTATCTCCCCTTCGTCTACCGCCAGGATTATGTCACATCATTCTTTCTATTACCTGCGTGTAGCAAATAAAACACACTACACGCTCAGCGTTGAAGCTGAGTAAGGATATCTAATGCGTCGGACATCCATGCATATAAACTGAATCTCAATTCATAATGAAATCATGCACATAATATTCAATTCAAGCATTAATAATTCATGATATTCATAATATTTTAATTCAAGTCATTTCATGATATATACAATACTCAATATTCAGTATTTCTACAGTGCTCTTAAATTATTCTTAATCTAAGGTCAAATCATTTTGAAAACAAGCTCTTAAACTATTCCTAGTCTAAGGCCATATTTCTAATTGGGTTCTTAAACTATAAATAGTTTAAGGCAGAACACAAGAATCGATGATCCATCCTACGAGTCTTCTAGATCACGTACCAACGGAACAGTGGACTGTCGGGTGGGTGATATCCCCAAATGTGTGATCCTCGAGTTTGGTTTGGATCCCGTACGTACGTTTTAACCCTAGATTGATGGATTCGTCACATATGTATATCTTAGATTTTTTCTAGATATCCTTAATAATCAAAATCGATTATCTAAATGGGTATATCTTAGAGTTCTTCTAGATACCCTTAACTATTCACATCATTTTTGTAATCATCAATATATCCGTTTTTAGTCACGATTTAATCATTTATAATTATTACTTTAATCAGAATATTCATTAAAGTTCGATCATAACCAACATCAATAATAATCATCATATTATCTGATAACAAACAGAGGCCTAGCGTCAAGTGTTAACACCCTAGCTAACCGTCTTACATCACATAAGATTTTATTTATCAGAAAAATCATTTTTAATCCCAAAAATCATGTTTATATTGATCAGAATTTATTGGTATCAAAAATAGGATTTTATAGCTTCAAAAATAGCATTTCTGGACTTAAAAATGTTCAAAACGGTTGAATGTTGGGTCCGAACGGTCGATCGTACCATTTTGGAACCATTTTCGTCATACGGTACATTGGGACGGTACATAGGGACTGTTCTTAGTCATGATACTTGGGTGGCGTGACACGCTACCTTGGTACCGTAAAACGAAACATAATGCGAGATCAATGTTCATCGTTTTCTACCTTCGGCCATTTTTCTAAAACTTTATATTTAGGTCACCAAACTCCAATTAAACTATGGTTGTGTTTGGAAAACAACTTTTCTGATAGTTTTTGGCATCTTTGACTAACTTTGGCTTGTTTCACTTACTGAATGCCAAAACCATTGTTTGGCTAATGGCTTTTTCACTTGGCTTTTTACTCCAAAATGCCAAAATCCGAAAAGCCAAGGGGAGTAGCTTTTGAACATGGCTTTTAGAAAAATTATATTTTTAATCATTTTTATTGAAAGATATTTTATAATATATGAATAAAAATAAAAATTAAAATTTAAAAAATTAAAAAATTAAAAAAATAAATTTTAAATTTTCAAAAATATTTTTATGAGAAAATCAAAAGTAAATATCATTAAAAAGTTATATTTTAATAAATTCTTATGAATTATATGAAAATGAAATTTTATACTCCACATATTAACCATTTAATTTTAAATGTACAAAAGTAAAAAACAATTATCGTGTGTGTGTCTCTGTGTGTGTGTGTTTCTATAAATATACACACACACACACATATACATATACATACATACATACATACATACATACATACATACATACATACATACATACACACATACATACATACATACATACATACATACATACATACATATATATATATATATATATATATATATGGGATTGACTCCAGTGAGATGACACATTTTGGTGAGATGAAGCAAAGCTCACCGCACTACATTACAAAGCTCACCACTGGACAATGCAAAGCTCATCTAGAAATAAAGTTAAGCTCACCACTTTGAACAACAAAACTCACCTTTTTTTAATTTTAAATATTTAAAATTTATAAAATAAAAGAGCAACACCGGTCAACCAGCGGTCAGTGGCGGCGGTTGTTGGCGATCGATGGTCTATAGCGGCGGCAGATTCCGGCAACCGGCGGCGGCAGGCAGCAGATTCTGGCGACCGACGGTGGCGGCAGATTCTGGTGGCCAGCGGCAGATTCTGGTAGTCGGCGGCGGCCAGCGGCAGATTCTGGCAACCAGCGGCGGCAGGCAGCGGATTCAGGCGACCGGTAGTGGCCGGCGGCGGTAGGTGGCGGTCAAAGGTCTCGGTCAACGGTGAAAGTCCAGTCAGCACGCCTTTCTTTGATTTTATTTTTAAAAAAAAATCAAAGTGTTTAAAAAATATGGTGAGCTTTTCCTTAGAATTTGGTGAGCTTTGTAGTTGTCCTTGGTAAGCTTTGCCTCATCTGACCATAGGATGTCATCTCACTAGAGTCAATCCATATATATATATATATATATCTGTGTGTGTGTGTGTCTATATATATACTAGCATGGGACACACTTCGTGTGTGTGTGCCCAGATATGAATGTTTTGACTAAGTAGAAGCATATTAATATTATACAAAAGAGTGTTGGTTACATTAGATGTTATATATTACAACATACAAACTGTATTAGAGGGTGACAAAATTTGGAACTTATTCTGTTCCAAATGAGTGATGGTTACAAAAGAGTGGTGACTACATTACATGTGATATATTACAACTTACAAACTATATTAGAGGGGGGTGACAAAATATGGAACTTGTAGCTGGGTGTTAGTAGTAGTGAAGTAAGTTTTTAACATTTGGGTAGGTAGGTATACAAGACAAAATGCATTGCACATGTACTGAACTAAGCTTTCCAAGGTAGCAGGACCTCAGCACTGTTTTTTGGGGCTGGGTTGTTCAACTTTCATCTTTCTCTTTAACGTTGGACTTGATGTTTTTTCATGACGGATGTCGTACAGGGATAGAAGTGAGAATGTCTTCGATGCAGATGTTTGGTCAGTGCGAGGTGGTAGTTGCACTGCAGCCGTTACCTTCTGAGATGCAAGACTGTTGTTCAAATCCCCGCATTTTAGCAACTCCATTGGTGTATTCAATTCAAGTGCTCGTACAATCTTTTCAAGTGTGTCGGTGAAAAGTGTTACTTGTAGAGAACTAATTGCATCTTTTATTTCGGACAGAATTCTGAATCTGTAATGATTTGTAAAATAGATTAGACATATGTATTCATAAGGTGAAAGCACGGATTGCAAAATAGATTCAGGTTCTTTCGTGGTAAAGAGGAAGTGGTTACCTCTTTATGGTTTTTGCTTCAAGGTCACCACACAACATGCATTTGAAATTGATTCCTTCTATGTAGTCCAATTTTCTGTTGCAACTGCTGCAACCAATGTAGAATGTAATGTCTCCAGTTTCTAAGACCTGCAACTGTCCTTCAACCCAGTGGATGTCTCCCTGTATGATCATGTATTATATTTGTATATGTTCAAATTAAAGTGTGACATGCATATTAGAAGTTGAAAGGATATATGGAGCATATTATGGTCCTCCAAATACTCTCATGGTAACTTAGATGATGACACATTTTATTTAATTGGCACAGTGAGTTTATAACACACTCGGACATGCATATTATAAGTTTTTATATCGTCTAGATTGACTCAAAATATTAGCACAGTGGCTAATATATTTCTATTAGAGATATAATTTGATATTCTCTCTTTAGCAAGGAAAAACAGCTAGGGGTATGAAGCGAGCTATCGAAGAGGTATATGTTATATTACTATTAAGTTATTATGTATGCGGGGATGGTTGGATAATCTATTGGCATCTTTATTTTTCCGTAGTTGGTTCGCTCTGGTGTAGCAGCCTCTAGTTTACAATTAGGGCTAAAAAGCGCTGTTTGATGAGACTGCGTAGTATAAGGTAATTGCTCAGGTAAAGGCTGACCAAGCCAAGGATGCCTGGCTGGTCTTTTGGGATGATCAGCCATACTGGGACTGAGATATGGCCTGGACTCCAATGGGGGGTAGCAGTGGGAAATCTTGGGAAATGGGTGAAATCCTCCTCAGTTTGCCTTAACCAATTGATGAGAATCATATCATTGAATAGGGATATAGTCTTCTATAGTTTCAAAATAGCACCAAAATAGTAGTCCCGATTCTGGCGGATTAATTGGCACTGTGAAACTTTTAGACCAAGGCTTTAAGGGCTGGTGTCAAAACTTTTAGGGCTCACTTTCATGAGAAAATTGGTACTTTAAGGGCTGATTTTCAAAGATAGGTCTGATTTTGAAGTTAACTTATAAGATAAAACAGAACCTGTAGGGGTTATTTTAAAAAGAAAGGGGATTAAAGAAAGTCAATTCTTGAGTGTAAGCAAATATTAGTGGAAAAGTCAAATATTAGTGACTAATATTTGCTTCTTTAATTTACCTGAAAAGTCAAATATTAGTGACTAATTCTTGGAAAAAATGTGGATTTCAAGCTGATTTTAAAGAAGAAACCGGACAATAAGGGGCAGATTTTAAAACAGATTATGAGTTTGAAGATGAGCTATCTTACCTCTTCAATACCTATGTTTTGATTGTATAATTGAACATGCAAAACTTACGTTAATTGGAGTAGGGGCTGCGAAGGCGTTTAAACTTGCCTAGCCCAAATAAGTCTAAAACGGTAGTACGTACAGAGGAAGGGGCACCGGTGCCGGCGTCCCATGCAAAGACCGGCAAGTTGCTAGCTTCTTAGCCTATTGAATGGGGAGATGCAGGTTTTACTTTACAAGTTAAACTACTCAAATCTACAAGATCTTGTTCTCTACAGGGGTCATTTACCCTCTCTTCTTTTCTCTTTTTTTGTGTAGTATTTTTGATATCAGGTATTTCCTAATTTTCTTGTTTTAAATAATTGTTCTGTAATGTGTGGGAGAAATTTTAATTGCATGTCAATATAAAAGAAACCTATATAAGACGCAGGCTGATGTGGTATTGACCTCATTTGTTGTTCGTGCCACTTCAGAGATTGGTGTTGTTTGAATATCTTCAGGCTTTGCAAACAGAGATAAGCGGTCCAGCCATTTTTTCGTCTCAATGGCGTGCTCTATGACAGATGTATTTGAAGACTTCCTGCAAGATACTGAATTAATAAATGCAATATTTTTTGAAAAGGAATGATTGATTAATAAAATAAAAGATGCTTTACCATTCATCCAAACTTGATGTAAGTGATATGACTGGGTTCAGCTCGATTGACGAATCAGATCGTGTTGTTAGTGATAGCCCTGGTATAATGATTGTGTTTAAGTTCAGGCGTAGAGGTGTATAGTATGTGAGCATGGGGTATATTGTGTAATGTTAATAATGCTATGCATTTACCTTTGAAAGATGTTGATGCTATCCTCCTTGCAATTATTGTGGGATAAATGCCTGATTGCAGTGTCTGCTGAATTTCGCGCCCTTGGACTTCTGCGAAAGTGTCCCACAGTGTGAAAGTGATAGGTTTGCATCTACAAGAATGCCTTTTCAAGTTAGAAAACAGTAATATGCAAAGCACGGTCCAATTAGAAAAGAAATTGTAGGGTTATAATTATTAAATCACTTAGCTGGTGCATAAGAGGTCACAAAACTAAAGGGTCATAATTAGTAATATCGAATTTGAATAATTTAAGCAGTTAGGTGGTGCTATCTAGATTGGGGAAAATCCTGATAAAAAAGATGGAAAACGGAGAACATGAAGAAGAATCAAAAGGGGTATATCCCGTCGATGAAGATATGAATGAAATACCCCGTAGAACTTGGGTGTGCAATCAAGTTGAAGTAAGGCACCGCCTAGTTTGATGTGCAGTACCAGTACAGTTCCTTAGTGTAAAAGCAAGAGTGCGACAAACGGCCTTAAACGATAAATGGAAAACAGACTATGTGTAACGCGAAATAAAATACTAAATGATCAACACTAATTTGAGTTCAATTTTCTCAATCATAGTTTAAGAGTACCTTTTCTGTAAAGGTTAACTGATTTTATATCTTTGATAGTTCAAAGGCAGTTTCTAACATTAGTTCTTCATAAGAAGGTTGCAAAAAGTGTTTCTAAAAGAAGGCATGCGGGCTCTATGTGGTAAGTATGGTGTGTCTAGTGACAGAAGACAAGCTTAATTACGGCTCGGAGTAAAACCAAATGAGAAGATCAGTTAATGAAATGGAAAAGGTTGTAGAGATGAAATGTTGTTCACTGCCTTTTACTTGTATGTTAGCCACCATGTGGAAAGGGATGGTAAGAAAACAACACTATGCTAGTATTATTGCATGCTCACATTGATAAATATATTAACTTTAGGTACACTGAAATGATAAACCAAATGGGCAGGCCAGTGTATATCAAGCATACACTTAGGAGTTATCCTCTTTAAAAATAAGAGCAAGTATTTAAAAATAACATATTCCAAGTCAATTAATGGCCACCTCAATTATAAATCAATTAATGGCCACCTCAATTATAAATTTTTCAATGCTGTAAAGCTATAAAAATTTAAAGACCCTAAGTTTTTAATATTTTCTGGTTAAAATTTTAACATCAATTCTGCTTAATCAGTTAAAAATAAAGCATAAAACTCCGTACAATTAATCGTGATTGTAAGAAAGCCGACATTCATATGTGGGCTGATCAGTCGAAAAAGAGAGAAAGTGAAAACCACCGGTAATTTAGGTTTTTTTTTTGGAAAAGAAACTACAACTATTTCTCTTAGGTGAAACATAATATTGTTAGTTAATTTTAAATAACAAAATAGTAAAGGCAAAAAGATAGAAGTAATGTTGGAACGTACTCATGGTCGATGATTATGAAGTCACTTACCGTTTTTTGGCCCTTTTTTGTGTAGACGAAGTTGCGCTGTAGTTTGGCAATGACAACTGCAAGTACATCTGTAGTTCCATAGGATATAAGAACATAAATAGGATGTTAAGTATATATAGTTTTAGGACATAATGTTTTTTTTCCGTAAACAAAATCTGTGTCACGTACTGATCTTTTTATTTGTAAGCATCGCTTTGTAGAACAGAGAGAATGGATCAATCTCAGGTTCTGCACTTGGTTGAATTAAGATTTTCTCTTCTGAGCTGACATCGTGAATCATTGTCCTCCGATTAAGTGTCCAGATATGTCTGTAACTTTCATCGGGAACACCAAACCTTTGAGTGGCTTCGGAAACTTTTGCGTTGAAAATCTTGTATGTGTTGTTCACTTCAAGCCGCTTGTCAAGAATGATGATATCCTGTCCGTAGGTCATTACTTTCACCTTATGGCCCTATGTATAAATTAGATTTATTACTGTGAGAATAAGTGGTTTTTTTTAAGAATTTGCATACAAATGTGGGATATGAAAATTTACTTGACTATCCTCTATGATCATGGCCCTGTATGTTACTCCCCTTGCTGATTGACGCTCGTTAAGCTTCTCTGTCACTATGACCTTGCAACCCCATGATTTAGAACTGGGAGTGACGTCCGTAATATATTGGTTTGCATCCATTGTTCTAAAAAAAGTAAATGTAGTATATTAGTTTGTAATGAAATTAAATTTCCAATAGGCAACATGTACTTTAAAATATTAAAAATGGGCAATAGAATTCATTAAAATCCAACAAACCTGGTGCTTTCTTATGTAAGGTATTCAATGATTTCATTGTACACTATGTTTGCTGTAACATTTGTCGTCTTCAAATTATCTATTACATCGTAGATAAGCATCTTGATGGATGCAGCATTTTTGGCCCGCGACATTGCAACGTATAGTTGTCCATGAGAAAAGACAGGTTGCCTAAGAAAGATTCCTGCGAATTCGAGTGTCTGACCTTGTGATTTATTTATTGTCATTGCAAAGCAAAGTTTGATGGGAAATTGAGTTCTCTTAAATGGAATTGCGCAACGTTCATCTCTAGACATTTCAAGTGGAATTCTTGGTATGAAGACATGCTTTCCCTTATACTCACCAAAAGCTATGAAACAACTTATTAGATGATCATGAAATGCATCACAAATTAAGCGCGTTCCATTACATAGGCCTTCACACGGGTTTAGGTTCCGTAGAAGAATTAATGGACAATTCTTTTTCAGAACTAATGTGTGGGGTGGTAGACCTGGAAATGATAACGTGTGCAACAAATCTTGGCAACTTCTGTATTTTTCATCTAGTGGCTCGTCATAGCTGAGTAAGGTTTTTGATTCTCCAGGAAATTTTCCAATTATAATGGTGTTGATTTCATCGACGTACTGATTTGTAGTAGTTAGTATTATTCTCCCCATCAACGTATATGGATCCTCTTGAAAGAGGTTCAAGTTTGGGTAAACAGCGGTGATGAGGGATAATAACAAATCTGAACTGTCGGGGGTACGGACAAGGAATTGTTGTGGGATTTTGATGTTTGTACCACTTATAGTTGGCGTTGACCCATTTCCAATGTCCATTAAATACTCACAAAAGGAGGGATCAGCCTGCGCCCGAACTTTTTCTTCTAAAGTGAGGCGTATCATCTTTGGCCAAATAAGAGACGATTTTACGATACAGGCATTTATACAGTCTTGTCTGTTTCCATTCCTGACAACAGGAAGTGTCTGACGTAGATCGCCTCCGAAAACAATGACTTTTCCTCCAAATAGCTCATCAGAGGACATAATATCCTTAAGTGTTAAATCCAATGCATCTATAATTCCGCGATTAGCCATTGTAATCTCATCCCATATGATGATTCGTGCTTCTCTAAGTAATGTTGCTATTGCACTTTGCTTACCAATGTTGCAGGTGTATTTATCATTTCCATCCAATGGTAATTTAAACCTAGAATGTGCCGTGCGGCCTCCAGGAAGAATAGAAGCAGCAATACCTGATGTTGCAGTAGCTAAAGCTATCCATTTTTTGCTCCGAATTGTTGCAAGTAACGCTCTATACAAAAATGTTTTCCTGGTGCCACCAGGGCCATCTACAAAAAACACTGTTGGTTTGTTGGATGTCACACTCTTCATAATAGAGTCAAATGCAATCTGTTGTCCGCTATTGAGAATCTAAGCGCATTGAAGGTCTTGCTCGCTTATATTTATGTTGAATTCTGATCTTAATTCTCGTGCCTGAATTTCAGCAGCTGTTAAGGGTATGGCACAGTCTGTTAGGTTGAATGTGAGAATACTTTTTCCAAGTGCTTCAGTAATATCTCCAATAAGTTTTAGTGTCATTGTTTCCATTTCCAATGGAGTGTAGATGTGTACCTGCGAAAAATCTTCATATAGATACGTTTTGTATTTAGCCCATAACTCTCTTAGATTTGGAATGTCACAAAACACCAATATTGTCGCAAATAATTTCCGCAAGCTACTGGGCATTTGATACATCACAGCCTCTTCAAGGCAAACATCAGCTGTAGCATTTCCTGTTAGAAGCCCCATTCTCTCTGCACTTTCTCGAAATGTGGACGTTGTATAACCATCCACAAGTTTTAGACTGGTGAACGATGTTGGAGCTCTTACATGTTGGAGTAGCATGCGAAGATAATATCTTTCACCCTCAATTGGATTAACACTCACAAGTCGTCCTATGACGTTTTTTCGCTTTCGTATCGTCCACCTCTTGTTTGTGTTTGACCAAACAAAAAACTCTGGGAATTGTACATACAGAAGTTGGAGTCTTTTTGCAGTCACATCGTGTAGGTTCATTTCAAAGAATTTTGTCAACATTGTACTTGACAGGTTGTCATCTTTCACTATTCTTGTGATTCTTTGATTTCCGAAGAAGTTGATATACTGAAAGTTTTCCAGGTGCACTTGTAATTGTTGAACGGGGGGATACATCTCGGCAATGGTGAAGGCAAATATCCTCCATGCTGCCTCCGGTGGCGAAACCCATCTTGCATTTTGATAAGCTGTTATCTCGTCAAGAGCAGGAGTGTTTTGATCATTCGTGATTCCAATTGAAATTCTATCATGTCCTTTGTAAACATATTTATATATGTACTTCACAGATCTAATTGAAGCACAGATCTCAACATTAATGTGGCAATCAAATTTCAACAAAAGTTGGGGATTATATGGTACCACCCAGGAGTTATCAAGTTTGTAGCCACGTATTTCTACGGAATTAGTGCCACTTCTCCTACGGTAGACAGGGAATGAATCTTCACCAAATGATGTTTCCTCAATTAAAGATCTCGGGTACTTGTTTCTGCACGAGGCTGTTAATTGTCCCTTTTTTTTCGTCATACATGGGCAACTTTGATTAAGGGTGCCACAAGGCCCATGTATCATGTGTTTCTTAACAAGTGCATATAGACGTGGTTGATGTAGAGGGTCGGGTATTTCTGCACAAACAAACTTGTCGCATGAATTGGGACTTTGAATTTTTGAAGGAACTTTGAGGATTATATAAAAATGTGCATGGGGAAGTCCACGCTTTTGAAATTCAATTACGTATATGTATGCTGCAACTTCCCCAAAAAACTTATTCTTGATTATGTCATTTTTGAATTCTTGCAAACGTGCATGAAAGACTCTACATACAAGATCTGGTTTGTTTTGTGCCTCATCTCTGTGATGGAGATGTTCTTTGATTTCAGGCCAATTAGGATTACACGTCATTGTGACAAACAAATCTGGTTTCCCATATTGCTGAACAATTGCCATTGCATCTAGGTAGCGTTTTCGCATATCCCGAGGTCCACCTATGAATGAAGCCGGAAGAACAACACGTTGGCCAACATCATCACCGTATACCATACCCATCTGCATGCTATCAACAACGCCTTGATATGTTTCAGACCTGAGGTCAAGCTGTTTTAGTCTATAGTAATCTAACCGTTGGGTTTCAATCTTAACATACACATCAACCATAAACTGTTGTAAAAGCCTTCCGGTGTGTAACAAATAGCTTGAATCATCATGGCGTATCTGAAATTTATAAGCGTAATATTCTCTGCATGAAANAAACTCGTTGGTCCAGACCTGGATGGTTATATAGCTTAATGCTAAATTCTGCATCATTGCATATGTCTTTCAGACTCTTAAAAAATTGAGCGTATGGGTTGTCTGAAATCACTTCAACAAGAGTAGCTACAATCTCTTTGTCTAATCTATCTGATGTCTGTACTCTATCCTCAACTTGGTGATCGGTATCATAAAAATAGAGTTGTAAATTTCGAGGTGGAGATCCACTTGGAAGCAAGTCGTTTACAAAGTGATGTATTTGTCCTTGAACCTTAAAGGTGTAAATTCCTTTATTTCTCCTGCATAAATCTTTGTCATAATTATATATACCAATTGACGTGAACGCAAATGTGTTGTTGTATGTGCGGACAAGAGATTGAAATTGTTTTCCTTTGACGTCATTGGCGATATATAAGTCTTTTAGAGCAGGAGGCATCTGTGTTGATGAAAGAACGACCTGACCTCGACAACAGCAAAACCCAAGAGGTTCAAACTGGATGCGGCTTGCACCACAAAAAATACAGTCTAACACTCTCTTTAAAGAATAAATTGTATCCTGATATGCAAACTTTGTCGGTGATTCTATAAGAATATGATATATAGTTGTAGGTGGAATGGTGACATTGTTATAAGTTTTGAAGAAGGGTAGAGTTGGGAAAAACATGAAGAAATTAGGAAATTCCGTCGAAGGCAAAGAAAGATATAAGTAAATTAGAAACGATAAATGAGTTAAATGCTACACCTTTAGTGGAAGAACTGGCACAGACACTGGAACGTCTAGTAATATTTGAAGCAATGTTTTTTTCACTGTCACGTAACTCATGGTATCTAAGACGGCGCCTAAAGTTTCTTTGTTCACTCCGATCTCTATAAAATGTTGGTTGAGTTGATGACGTCCCAGTTTCCATTGAATCTTTGAGGAGTTACAAGTAAACCTATGACTAATCAAAGGGTTGCATGTTTGGAAATTAAAGTAGTAAACTTAAAATACCTTTGAAGTAGGGTTAAAAACATTCCATTATAAAAATTTAAATATTTCTTAAACGCATGTAAACTTAAAATACCTTTGAAGCAATTACAGGGCATGCATTGCATATTAAACATTCGAAGAACGAAAATTTTAGAGAGTATTATACCAAGGCTTTGACTTAATTCTAAGAAGGGTGAACTACTTAGAAAGCACCTTTTTTTTAAAAGAACAAAAATTAATACAAGCGTAATTTTAAAGTATGTGAACATACCAAGGAATTTAAATTGTGCCTTGAAGAGATCAAGAAAGACCAAGATCAGTACAAGAGTCACCTGCATAAATAATTAAGCGCTAAAATAAGTTAATCGTTCTAAAGATAAAAATGAAATTACATTGTTTAGAAGTTATGTCGTAAGTAGGAGAATTTCCCCTTTAAAAGAGGAGAAGCAAAATAATACATTTGGAAAAACTGTATTTTCAGAGTTCATTGGGAACTTATTTTGAATAAGGTATGCAAAAAGTGTTAGAGAAGCCAAAATAGATGTTTAAATTGGTACTTGAGTTGAGAATAGTTACATAAACAAATTTAGTGGGAAATAATTATCTATCAATCATTAACTCCAGCTCAAAGCCATTGAAGCCTAGAGAAGATTGGAGGCAGAAATTCTGACCCATTCATCCTGGTGGGATGTAAACCAACTAAGGAACATTGCAGGTTCTTCCATTCCTCATCTTCTCTATCTCTTTTTAAGAAAAAAAGTACTATGTCATTTTCATTTTTTCGTGATTTCCAATTTTTATGAGGTTTTTAGATACTTACTACATAGGTCATGTAAAGAGTGCATGTGCTTTCTTAGGGAATGATGCTCTCAGGTAAAATTATGTGGTTAATTACGGTTCAGAGTTCACACATTAAGGAATATGTGTACAAATAAATTATGCATATTCAAGGTATGTTCTTTTGGGTTGGAAACACATAATTGGATGTTGGAAGGAACTCAAGGAATTGAAAAATGTTAGAATCTAAAAGTTAGGTTCCAAAATAACGTAGTCAATCGAGGATTACCATCAAAATATTGCCAATTCAGGTTTCTTTAAAAAATCACCCATTAGAGCTTCTATTTTGTGTTGCAAATTAACTCAAAAAACAGACCTCTCTTTGGAAAGCAGCCCCTAAAGTACAAAATTTCTCATGAATCTCAGGCTTTAAAAATGTTGAAAAAAGGCCCCAAAGTTTCAGTTTTTCCATAAAAATAAGCTTCAAAATCATTTTTTGTTTCAAAATAAGTGTCTAAAAGTTCACTTGTCTCTTGGAAATCACCTACAATTTCAGTTTCTTGCTCAATAATTTTCATTTTGGGGTTGAAAATCATAATCCAAGTCTGTTTGGGGACTTTTAAAGTTTTAAAACCAGCTCTTAAAGTTTCGAAATCACAGGTGGATTTAATTTTTTTTTAGTGGATGATATTCCATGTATCTTAAGCAAACTTCTGCCTATGAATCCAAACCAAGAAAAAGGAAATGAATTTATATGCACACTGAGCATTCCAAATCATCAAAACTATAGAAGTAGAAGAGAACACCTAAAAGTAAAAGTCATATTTCAAAATCTATAACGCCTCAAAATAAGTGTCTAAAACTATAGATATGCCGCCCTTCGTCAATTCTAGTATTACACGAATACAATTACAGACAAGCTTAAGATATATTTACATGTATCTTAAGCAAACTTCTGCCTATGAATCCAAACCAAGAAAAAGGAAATGAATTTATATGCACACTGAGCATTCCAAATCATCAAAACTATAGAAGTAGAAGAGAACACCTAAAAGTAAAAGTCATATTTCAAAATCTATAACGCCTCTGATTTAGGTATTAGAGAAACAAATTTTTTTACTAAAACCCGAATCAAACCCGACATATTTTTCCCCTACTCAAGAAGATGGAAAATAGGGGTAGACAATTTAATTCCTCATTGTAACTTGGAGTCCTACTTTGGTGCTTCTTTCACGTAAAGGATTGTCCTCAAGACACTAAAGAGACCATATATGACAACACTTGACTTTGACTTTCACATACATTTCAAAAAAAACAGTGGAAAATCAAGCAGTAGCACAATAGAAATCCTCTCCATGTGTGGGAGAACAAAACAAGCTAAATAACTACCTGCAATATTACTCAAGGGCAAAACCCAGAAAACTGGAAGTATGCCACAAAAGAATAGGGTAACCCCAATGTTGTTGAAAAGCATTAGATGCTCTATAGAGGAGATTTTGGGGCCGAGTGCCTCAACATGTATTAAATAAAGAAATCAGGCTATGCAAGACAGGAACAGATTAAGGCAAAGGCCAAGCGGGGGGGGGGGGGGNNGGGGGGGGAGGGGGGGTTGCAAGATATAAACAAAATTAGATAAGGGCATAGAAGGGGTAACCCTTGGGAACTAATCGAGTCTTGGCCATGTCTATCTAATAACAATACAAATGACCGTGAATGATTTCATAACCCACAGAAGTATTCAGACCTGATTTCATTGGCAATTTCTGACTCCGACATTCATTTTTGTTCACTCAGTACGAATTCAGGTTTCTGTTTAAATTCACCCCCTAGGCCTTCTCTTTTGTGTTGGAAAGTAGTTCAAAAACCAGATCTCTCTTTAGAAATTTGATTCACTTGTCTCTTGGAAATCAATTACAGTTTCAGTTTATTTCTCAAACCAATTTTCGTTTTTGCTCAATTGGGGAATATGCAGAGAATGGTGCAGGAATAAGTGGAAAAGAATAGGGAGGTTTACCTAGCCTTTGCCGAAGGGAGGTGAGGAATTTCGATGTAGATGAAGCTGGTAGAAGAGGCGAATGCATCCCAGGGAAGATATACGAGGCCAGTGGTCGATAGTGGGGCGGTGAAGGCATTGTCGTGGGGCGGTGGGCGGCGAAGTCACCAATAGGCTTCATTTTCCGTGCAAATTAGAAGAAACGGAAACAGGCACTGAAGCGTTAAATCAAACGGATAAAAGACTATAGGAAACGGCGATAAGCTCTTATATAATTAGGAGAGATTTTTGTGGCGTTACATATACATACATACATACATACATACATACATACATACATACATACATACATACATACATACATACACACACACACATATATATATATGTATGTATGTATGTATGTATGTATGTATGTATGTATGTATGTATGTATGTATGTATGTATATCGGAACAACTATTTTCAAATAGCTAATTTTACCAAACATTTTTAACGATTAGCCAACTCATCTTGTCGGTCAAACAAGCTAAATCAAACAGCTATTTAGAACAGCTGATACAAACATCCAACAGCTGACTTCCAATATCCAAACAAGGCCTATATAGAAATGTTCTCCAATGTTCACAGATCATTTGGGCATCATTAATTCGAATTTTTAACAACAAATTCAAGGTTTATGATTCTTGGTTCTTTAAGCATCTCAAACACGAAACTCAACCAAACGGCCGTTTATGAACGTAGAAATGATCTATACGAACATTCTAATCACTAGATATATCTAAGGGCGTACTTGGAGCATAACGATGATTCCAACGATTGAACAGCAAAACTTCTGGTGAACACTACCGATAACGGGAAGCTCTCTGGACAACACCACTTTACTCTCTATGCTCACAACTCTCTAATGGAGAAAGAATGGTAAAGAGTGGTTAAGGTTTGTGTATCCTTATATAGCAACAGGAGGAAGGAAGCAGACAAGGGATTTATGTAATGGTGATCGGCAATCGGCTCGGTGCGATGGGTGGCTGATTCGTAGGATTTTACATGTTGTTCCCTGATTGGATTAATTTTGGTCCTAGTCGGGGTATACTTCTTGGTCCAACATTCTCTGAATTAAATTTCATTTGCAAAAATGTGATCAGATAGTCAAACTCTATTCAACGATATAATTTTAATTTTTATCCGCAATACTTTTTCCGGCATCATATTTTTGGAGGTTTGACTTTGCAGAGTCAAAATTGATTTAATTCACCTTTATTCAAAAAGGTTCTTTCATTTAATTAATATTACTTATTGTTCTCATGATTTATTTCAATAAATCATTTCAACTTCACATCAAAAATCAAATTCTTTATTTATTCTTAATTTGGGTCTGTATTCTGCTTCCCAATCAAGATCACACATATAGTCCACATATTGGATTTATCTTTAAGAGATTTCTCTAGATTATGACATTGGATATCAAAACATATTTCATTCCGGCCCAAAGCCCAACAATATTATATTTTAATTAAAACAAATTTGTTTAATTGAGTAATATTTCATTAATAATTTTAGGGTATATATTTTGGGGCGTTACACATGTTATATTAAAACACATAGCAAGTAAGGGTGGACATGGATCAGAACAGTTGACTTGACCGGGTTTTACATTGTCTCGCCTTTTGTCTCGTTTTTTTCAAATTGTTTCGAACAATTCGGGCCACAAGCTTATCCCTCTTGGTCCCTTAATATTCAGGATCAAGATAAAACGAAATGAGTCTGAATTTTCCTGCTTTGTCATTATCTGAAATTATATATAAAAATATATACTCTCTCCGTCCTAAAACCATCTCCCCGTTTGTATTTACGAGTTTTGACCGACTTTATTTTCAATTCAATTTATTTGATTGTAGGTGTAAAATTAAAAAATAAAATTTATATATTTAAAAATTATATCAAAAGTTCTACAAAACACGAGGTGACAAGACTATATTATTTTATTAAATAAATGAAAACAGGTGAACAAAGTGATTTAAGTTTGAGCGTATGAATAGTAACTGAGAAGATAGTTTTAGGACGGAGAGAGTAAAATACATCAGGGGGAGGCTACCCACTTTGACTTGCAAAGTACTTAAAAATGATATATTTATTTAGAATGTTTTTAAAAAGCAAAAACAATAAGTAAATATGAAAAATGTTACAATATATGTCAAAAGTAAAGAACATAAACATAATAAAAGTTATGAACCACAAATTGGGTCGGGTCGAGTTAGAACAGTATGGTTTTTAAGGTGTTTCGTTCCTAATCTATGTGTTTAGAATTTAAATTTGGATATTTTCTATATCTAAATTGGAAAAAATACAAATTGTGATTTTTTTTGTGTTATATCATTATATAAATAAATAAGTAGATATATACATATATACTAGACCACGGGGCGGAATGAGAAAATATTTATGTGTCTTTGTCATATCCCATTTTAAAATGGTTCGAAACGAGTTCGAAAAAAGCTTTTGTCACCTCTAATAAAACGAACCATTAGAAACACGGGACTAGGATATTTCCAGTCGGGACAATAGTTTGGTAATTCATACCCACTCCTTGTTGGAAGGGAAGTGTAGAAAAAGACATAAGACAAAGGGAATGAGCAATGATAGATGTACACAAAAGGTTGGGAATGAGCAATGATAGGTGTACACGAAAGGTGTTCCTATTTCGTTGACATGGCTTGTGTCGCACCCACAACCATTTTCTCCCTTAAATAACCCTGAGAGACAATTAAGGGCTGTATATATACAGGGGAGCCCAGCTTCTGGCTCTTCTGCTCCCTGTGGCAGTAAAATAAAAAGGACATATCATATCATAATATGGACAATCTACAGTACTCCATAGCCCCCACTTCGTCTCCCGGCGGCGGTTGGGGCCTCCGTCATATCGCCGCCTCCTGCAGCTTTCCCTCTCCTGGTAATTGGCCATTAAAAATAACTCCATGTGTGGTATACATATATATAATATCCATTTTATAGAGTAATTACTGTGTGTGTGTGTGTGTGTATATATATATATATATACGCATACATAAATGCAGGTACAGAGAACACGCCGCCGTGCAAGTGGCCGGACGTCGACGACTCCGGCGACGCGTGTACCGGCTACTTGCAGGATGCTTTGTTTAACTTCAATACAAAGAGGAGGAGGCTGTTACTGTTTGGTGATGATGATGATGATCCAGCTGGCAATTGCAAAGACTTGAATGTTCTGTGGGTATGTAATATACTTTTTGTTTAATTTTGAACTTTTTTACAATTAATAATTAGTCGTCCCTTAGAAAAATTACGAGTAATTTGATTTAAGAAAAAGAATTTCTGATAGACAATAATTAAATAGTCGATCCGTGTGTATAGTAATGATGTGAATATATGTGATTTTGTATGATTAAATAACGTTATTATTAGTTCGATCAATCAACCAATGAATGGCCAATTTTCCAGAACATCACAAAGCTGGATTATGATGATGATGATGATGATGATTATGGCCAGAACATAAAGGTGCAGCATTCTTATGAGAATTGGGATGATAGCATTCCATCCCCAGGTTTGCCTTAATTATACTACCCCCTACTTTCTTGCTCTGTTTGTACTCTCCCTCTCCCTCTCTCTTTATATATACTCCCTCGCTCCGTCCTATAATGATCTTCCCAGAACACTATTCCAACTTCACGAGAATTTATATTTATTTGTGTTTTTTCATGGCCTATATGATAAAATAAAATATTCTTGTCACCACTTGTTTTGTTGAACTTTTGATATAGTTTTTAAATATGTATGTTTTATTTTATATTTCTATACCAATATTTAAATAAAATAGATTGAAAAAAGTTGGAATTTTTCTTCGTTTTGCGAACCGGGAAGATCATTATAGGACGGAGGGAGTATATATATATATACTCCCTCCGTCCCAGAAAACATGGGAGTTTTGATTTTGAAGAGGATTTAAAGGGATTGTATTTTGGTATTGAATTTCCAAAAATGTCCTTTGATATGATGGGTAAAAATATGATTTAATGGATAGATTATTAGTAAAAAGGTATGATGTGATAGGTACGGTATTAAAAAGTAAAGGATAAAACTGACTATTTAATATAAATGAGAAGTGTTTTTTAGGACGAATGAAAAAAGAAAGGAGAAAGATTTTCAGGGACGGAAAGAGTATATGAAATTTATTTTGAAATAAAGAGAAAATCTGATAAAGGAAAAAGAGTCTCATGCTAGGGAGCAGGTGATAATTAAAGAGTTCAAAAAAAAAGTACAAAGTAGTCAAATAGACCTTCAAATACAGAGTTTATTTGGAATTGAAAATAGGATTATGCTATGTGTACCCCAAGGTTTGTACCCCGCAGTTTTGCACCAACATTTTGTGTTGGTGTAAAACTAATTTTTGTTAAACGCACCAACATTTGTGTCCGTGTGAATATTTATTAACGCACCAACACTTGTGTCGGTGTAAACTATCGAAATGTTTGTGCAAGCCTGTGGTGTACAAATGGGGTATATTTTTTGGTGTAAGTGTAGCATGGTCCTTGAAAATATAGTAGATTTCATATACTCCCTCCGTGCCCAATTTGATTACAAATTGCGGGTTGCGGAGTAAAATTTCTTACTTTTTGAAATTATTTTATTTACAAATTGGTATATCAATAAGATATATACAAATTATATATTAAAAAAACTATGTCAAAAGTTCTACAAAACAAGAGGTGACAAGAATATATTATTTTATCAAATACTTATGAAATCGTATAAACAAATAAAAGTTATCGAGAGGAGAGAAAAAAAATTGTAATCTATTTAGGAACGGAGGGAGTATAATATTTCCTCTATCCTAAAAAATATTCTCCTTTCATTTTTTATAGAGTTCAAAAATACACTTTCTCATTCAATTCATATTACATACCCAGAGAACATTCAATCACAAATTATACTACTATCTTCATCTATAAGTATTTGTTCAATTTTGACGTTTTGCAGTCAACTATTTTCGATGTTTGAACTCAAATTAAATAAAAAGTATATGAAAAATTTATCAAATTTAATTATAAAAAAGTCAGAACAAATACTCAGGGGTGCAAATATTATAAAAGAATTTACATTTGTGAAAAGTCAAAAATATAGGAAGAACTTATATGGAGTGGCAGTGTATTGAAAGCTCCATTAGACATTTACATGAGTTTTTTAAATTTGTGCAATTATGCTGGTAACAAAGTCAAAACGTTATATTGAAACAATGAAACGTCTCATTCATTCAAACTAAATTAGTGTTTCATCACGTAACTACTCCACTTTCTTTTAGGCATTATAGAGATTAATTTAATTGTAATTTCTCACCTACCGGTTATGCATGGAATACGATTCCCATCCTTGAATTAATCAGAATTATTTAGTTGATTATGTTATAAATTAACCTACTTGTTTTGTACTCCGATCCTAAATTATTTTTCACATTTTGAAAACGTGTAAAATATTATTTCTTTCAAAATCATTTTATTTACAAATTGGTAGAGAAATAAATATTGAAGATTGGTGGAACAAGTGAACCCGGTTGAATGTTGGGTGAGATTTGATCACTTGCCCATATAAAATATGGATCCACTTTCTATCCAAATGCTTAAGCTAATGGTAGTGTTTCATCTTTCTTTATATGGGAGTAATACTTAATTGATTTTTTCCTGGTGTGGGATATAATCCAACACAAGGAGACTCCCAACACCCCTCAAGTGGTAACTAGCATGATCTAGTTACTACTTGAATAAATGAATAGATCTAGCATTTCAATCTCTTAATAGTCAATTCGGTAAATACTAGGATTAATTGAAGGCGAACCAAACTTGGCTTTGAAACCATGTTGGAATTTTGGTGGGACGAGTGAATTGGACGGAGTGTTGGGTGAAATTTGATCAGTTAGCCCTAAAAAGTCTAGATCCACTTTCTCTCTAAAAGCTTAATAAGCTAATGGATAGTGTTTCACCATTTAATTGATTTTTCTGGTATGGGAAGAAACCGAATGCATGGAGACTCCCAGTAAAACTATAAATTATATCTTTAAAAAATATATCAAAATTTCAACAGTATAGAGAAAAAACAAATAGAGAAAAAACCAAAAAATACCAAGCCGAAAAAATAACACTAAATTAGGTGTATATGTTTTCATCTCGATTTATCCCGAAACCGATACCGAACTATCTTGAATAAAACTTCGGGATCGGGATCGGTACGATTTAAAACCCATACCGAATCAAAATATTTATATGTACTATATTGGTACGGATTAAATACTGTATCATACCGTACTATGTAATATACTGGAAAAAAAATACTCCATCCGTTCCATAAAACCCTTCCACTTTCGTTTTTTTCTAATTCTTTAAAACACTTCCACTTTCTATTAAAAAATCACTTTTGCTCATACTTTTTCATACCCTACGTATCACATCATACGTTTTCACTAATAATCAAACTATCACATCTTATTTTACTCATCACATCATGAGCAAAATTGGAAAGACAATCAAAATTACACTTTCTATATTTTGGCCCAAAATCAAAATGAGAAGAATATCATGGAGTATATGGGATTGGATTAAGCTATGTGTACCCTAACATTTATATCCCAATTTGTACTCCGCTGGTTTGCACCAACATTTTATGTTGGTGTAAAACTAATTTTTGTTAACGTACCAACAACACTTTGTGTCCGCGTAAATTTTTGTTTACGCACCAACACTTGTGCCAGTGTAAACCATCAAAATATTTGTGTATAACTGTAGTGTAAGGTAGAAATGAGGTACATTTTTTGGTGTAAGTGTAACCGATAAAATGAGAAGGGATATGCTAGGGGTACACCAAATGTGTACCCCAAATGTACACCACTTCCCTTTCTACCATTCATTTTATTTTATTTTTATTTTTTATTTTTTTTTTAAATTTTTTTGCTTTTTTTTTGTGGTGATGGAGGGGGTGGGGGATGTTTGAGAAGGGATTAAAATCACATGTAAGATTCCAATTTTAATAAAAACTTACGTTTTCCAATTTATAACTTATCTTTCTTTCTAGTATAATTTCGGGACACTTTTAAAAATGACATTTAATTATTATAAAAAATAATTATATTAACTTCAAAATTACCATTTTATATTACTATAATTTCGAATACTTACCATTTTATCTTCACAATTGTCATATGTAATGGACATACTTCGTGCACGGGTTAAAAATGGACACTATAATTTCAGAAACTTACCATTTATATAGGTAATAATTGCAGGGAGTAATAATTATTACATTTTTTGGTTATTACCTTTCTTGCTATTAAACATAAATATAAATATATATTTAAAGGGTTTTACTGTATTAATTTTTTTCAAAACTACGTGTATAAATATTCTTACCATAATTATATTATACTATAATTATATACACGTTTTTATATAACATAGTCAACCGGTAATCATATAATTATAGTAAGAATAATCATCACACGTTTTTAATAGCACTGATTGGCGTGTATTAAGGTTTATAAATATTTTTCATAAATAATTTTTTCCTATTAATAATAATCAGTTTTAATGAATTACCTTTTTTATTTAATTCGTAATTACGTCGGTCTACATTATTACCATTTTTAATAATAATCGGTCTTATTAAATATAATACTTTTAAATTTTTATCATTAAAGGAGAAAAATTAAGATTGAAATTACCATTTTTAAAGTAAGGAAATAAAAATCCGGAAATTACCTTTTTTATTTATTTCGTAATTACGTCAGTCTACATCATTACCATTTTTAATAATAATCAGTCTTATTAAATATAATACTTTTAAATTTTTATCATTAAAGGAGAAAAATTTTAAAAATGGTAATTTCCGGATTTTTATTTGCTTACTTTAAAAATGGTAATTTTCAATCATTATGACAGTTAATTATTATAAATATAATATAATAATTATACTTATAAAACGTAAATTATATATTACTATAATTTAGGACACTTACCATTTTAACTTAATATTACCATATGTAATGGTCATAGTCTTTGGGCGGGAAAACGCAATATTGAATCCATGTCTTTTTAAATAAAGTATGGATATGGATGACTCTAGTATTACTATATAGTTTAAATTTCTAACAAGTTTGCAAATTTTATTGTAAAATCTAAGTGTCATATCCTCTGTGTATCCCAGTCTAAGAAAATTCGATCTAGCTACTTCAAGGACTTCAAAACAAAATACTCCGTACTCCGTAATTTAAGTTTAAAAAAATGTGTAGATGATACTCCGTATTTGAAATACCGGAGTATACTGTATTTGAAAGGAAAAAAACAGAAGAATATGAATCGCTTGAAAAGAAAATGCGAATTTTCATACTAGAGGGAGAGAATAAATTAAAGTGAAGTGTTTGAAATTAAACATCCTTTTTACTCACAGAGATGAAAAGCAATCGGTCAGAGGAAGAAGAAGAAGAAGCAGCTTCTGATTCTCGCAAATTCTATCACAGTAATAATAATAAGCATACCCCACCGTCCTTTTCCGCCGGTAATTCCCGATCCCTCATCGTCCTTGTCATTTTTCATTCCAAATACGAGTTAAAATGTATTGAAAATATATCGAAATAAAATTTTTATGTTTTTATTCTTGAAATATGAGTTAAAATCTATTTACATTACCAATCCTTACCATATATATTACGTAAAATGCACATGTACAGTCCACATTATCACAATGCGAATTCCTACTTAGGAAATAAAAACATGAATTTTCTAATTTTATACTTTTTCTATGTTTTAATCATATTTAAAGTGATTTCTTTCTTCACTCTGTTATTTGCTCCAGATCAGAAAAATGTTTCCCATTTTAATTTTGAGTTTCGTGTGTCATATACTCCCGAACTCTTCAAAGTTGTACGGATTCTCTAAAGTTTAAAAATTGCACCAATGATCTCTAAACTTTTACAAAACGTTGTATCAATGGTTCCTCTGCGCCGGATTTGAAAGTGTGTTAATCATATGCTCGTCCAGTGCAAGTCTGGATTCATCTGAACGTATTCGTATATCACATGTGAGTTCTGCAATATGTTTTTTCAAATAATTATTCCAACTTTAGCCGTCGGTAATCAAATTCAAAGTCCAGGTGCTAGTCAATCAATTTCGTCACCAATCGATAAACTTTTTTATCAATCAATGTCAAATTATTCAAGCTCTAACCATGCATGTTGATGAGCATAGATGACAGTAACACGCTCCTAAATTTGGCATAGGGGACTATTGTTGTGATATCTTAAAAAATTCAAAAATTTTTTATTCAATTTTTAAAGTTCAAGAAGAGAGTGAATCACGCAATAAATTCTTCTAATTTTGATTAGTCTAGCCATGGTCTACTTCAAGAAGAGCCAAGCTTGGTCAATGGTAGGCTTTCTTTTGTCGATCTATAGAAGTATAGATACATCATCTCTAGGGAATAATTTCATCTCGCTCTTTTCGTGTAAAAAGAAGATTTTATTTACTTTTTCAAAATATTTAAGAATTTTTTTGGTGAATTCAAAAAAAAAGACAAAAAGAAATGGATGCATAAATATTTCATCTCCAGTGTATTTTTATTGCTTATTTAATAAGTTAAAATATTTTTATTATTTCTTATTTTGTAAAACTTTTAAACATAGCTTTCGAATATGTAAATTTTGTTTTTATTTCTATATCAAATTTTAAATAAATTGAATAGAAAAATTTTAAAATTTTATTTCGTTTTACGTAAAGTACAAAACACTTTGAGATTGATTATAGTTACTTCTCAATCTAAAAGTTATATCTTATTTACTATTCACAAGGTCAAACTTTATTCACTTAATTGATAAAATAATATGCTCATGTCACATTTAGTTTTATAAATTTTTTGATGTAGTTTTTAAAATATGCAATTTTTATTTTTTTAATACCACATATTTTTCCATATAAAATGATTAAATGATTTGGGATGATAATTTTTTCAGAGGAGGAGCATTAAAATTCAAATTCCTATTTTCAAATACTACCTCCGTCTCTGGGTATTTGTCCAGTTTGACTTTTTCGAGTCAAAGTGGACAAACTTTGAACTCCTTCTACTCTCAATTTATATTGCATATTAGTATAATAAAATATAATTTTGATAGTTCTCAATACGGTAAATCCAATAAAATCATTTTTATTTTAAAGTACAATTCGATTTTTATTTAATTGAAGTTAAAAATTTATCATGTTTAATTTGAAAAAATCAAACTAGACAAATACGCAGGGACGGAGGAGTATGCGACAATGTATTGGTTATATTAGGTACAAAACCTCTCACAAACGTTGTCGTGTTTTAGACGTCGTCTTAATTGCCAGACCAAAATTATGACTTGGCCTTTTACGACCACTTTTCTAAACATTATGGTGGGGCAATTGTCCGCCATCCGATCTCTTTTTTGTTTTTTGAAATAATTAAGAGAATCTCTCTGAATGTCTACGTCTTATGTGTTGTGTCGGCCAGGAAGCGACGGCGGCGGCGATCGGCGGCCAACGGAGAAGGCGTTGGCAAAATTGGCGTACCCTTTCGCGGTGGTGAAGCCGGGAGGGACGGAAGGTGACCTCACGCTGGACGAAATCAACGAGAGGATTCTGATGCCGCCGACAAGACCGGTGAAGCATCCGGTCGGAGACTTTGCCTGCCGGCCGCTGGTTTCGCCGGACGGACCCGGCTTGTCCGGCAAGGCGGTGGTTGCTTTAACTAGAATCCAGACTCGGGGCAGAGGGACCATTACCATTATCAGGACTAGAGGCTAAGAGCAGTTGATCTTGAAAATTTAAAAAGAAAAAGTGAAAAAAGAAAAGAAGAAGAGAAAAGAAAGCGATATTCCGTATGCTTTTCTTTGCTAGTGGGACATGCAAGAATTGTATAGTACTTTTCACATTATAAATTAACCATGTTTACTTCAAAGATTGTATTTCAAATTGTAGATCAAATGTTTACACTTACATTTTGATAGTTTGATTACGAAATTTCACTCACATTTTATATTAATGTAAGTCATCAGTTGACATTTAAATTGACACAAAATATAAATATAAGGGGTGTATTCAATCCTGATTTTAAAAGATTCTAATATATTCCTTCCGTCTCAGTGTATTTATCCAGTTTGACTTTTTTGAGTCAAACTGGACAAACTTTAAGCTTTAATTAAATAAAAATTGTAATGTGTTTTAACATAAAAATGACTTCATTGAATTTATCATATTGAGAACTTTTAAGATTGTATTTCATTATTTTAATATGCAATATAAATTGAGAGTAATTGGAGTTTAAAATTTATCTAGTTTGACTCAAAAAAGTCAAACTAGACGAATACACTGGGACGGAGATAGTCTTATTTAGAATACATGGATTTTGTAAATTCATCGATTTTATTAAATCTACACAGACAGAGTTAGGTTAGATAGATTGTAGACTATTTTATGAGCAAGATTTTATAGGATTCTCTCATATTATTTATAATCCTCAAAGGTTTTTTCAGTATACTCGCGGAAATCTTTACCAAACACAGCACCACTCTCTCCGGCATCCCCAACCACCACCAAAATCCCTTCCCCCATCCACATTTTCTACCCAATCGAAAGGAGCATCGCAACAGACACCCGGGAGAGTAGAGAGAGTTCCAACCCAACACTGCCCCACACAAAAATCAAGGCATCAAATTAGGGCTCCAAATCAAACCTGCACCCACACTCCATCCCCAACTCTCCGATCCGAAAACCAATATTGGTCTCCACACTTCGACATGTGCGATGCAAAATTGGTCTCCGAATTGGGTTTTTGTTCCGTTGGTTTTCAATACATGGATCATTGTTTGTTTATATGTGTTTTTATTTCTTTGAATTGGGTTTTTGATGAACTAAAGAAAATGTGAATCGTACTCGATACGAAAGAGGGGAAGATAGTAGGTGTTGTAGACTTGTCGGCGGTCCAAAACAAATTAAAAATTTACAAAAAAGACTTTAAATCTATTTTTTGACGTTTTTAAATCAGTTTGAACCGATGCAAAAGCCAGTGATGCAAATACTCAGGTCACTTTTTGCATCGGTTGTTAAAACCGATGCAAAAGCCCTTCCCAAAATTGGTGCCAATTCTGGGGAGAGGCTTTTTGAATCGGTTATTACCAAATAACCGATGCAAATACTCCTTTTCAAAATTGGCGCCATTCCGGCAAGAAATATTTTAATCGGTTATTACCCTAACCGATTCAAATGCCTAAGTTTTTGAATCAGTTATTACCAAATAACCGATTCAAAAGCCTTTCTCTATGAAGGGGCTTTTGAATCGGTTATTTGTTAATAACCGATTCAAAAGCTTAGGCATTTGAATCAGTTATTACCTAATAACCGATTTAAATACTTCTTCCCATTTCTGAAAATAAGCTTTTGAATCAGTTATTACCAGATAACTGATTCAAAAAATAAATTTTTCCAATAGGAATAGTTTGTTTGCTCCCGATCCACTTCATTTCGTTATACAGATTCAACAACAACAAGAATTCAAGCCATCAACACAACAGTAACTAACACAAAAACATTTACAAAACTCAAATGCCACAAAACAAATTAAACCAAAAAAATAAACATTTGTATCCAACACTTGTACATCTTAAAAAAATACAAGAGTAAAACAACTATTCTTCTAAGTTTTAACAACACCACTAAGAGTCAATCAACTACACTCTACTAACACACATTTAATACTATACAGTACAACGCAAACTTACACAAGTTCATCGAGAAAACCACCCGCCCAAAACTCTCTAACCTCTTCTAATTCGGCTCTAGTATAAACCGTAGTATACTGAAATACATGTAATACGAAAACAAAATACGACATAAAGTTTAATAATATATGAAAAAGAAAATGATGATAAACACTTCATTACTTTCAAAAACACACTAAAACAAACTTACATCGGATAACGGTACAGAATATTGTGCACACATATTGATGAAGAGCCAACAAAATCACATGGTATAATAACCACACTCAAAGTTCCCTACTTGTTGGGGTACTCCGAGAACATCAACCCAATCCGATCAAGCTTTAAGCTGAGGCATGTGCCGTTCCCGAAGTAACCGCCAAGACCTGTAATATATGTAAAAAACAAATTAATAAGAAATTATTATCTTAACAAATAAAGAATTTCATCAATAAGAAATAAATTTCTTAATACTTACTCGTTGACGAAAGTCTTCACCATCATTTTCTTATGCCCTCCGGTCGCCTTGATTGAGTTTAGGAAATACACTTTGTTTTCAAACAAACGTAGTACTAACACCCAATGACGCATACAATTGAAAAAGCGTTAGTCACTAACTTAAAATAAAAAACCAAAATACATATTGAAAATGATTTAGAAAATATAGGTGTCGATAAGTACAACGACATAAGTATCCAGGGTCGCGATTGATAGGTCTCGAGTGCTCTATCTAGATACAAGCGATCTCCATATTCTACCACGTACGCCATGTTCTCCGGACATAACAACCCGACAGACGCGATGCTGTGCTCCACCATATGATCGTGCAACAATCTAGTAATTTCATATGTAAATAATAATTACAAGTATAAGAAATAATTATAATTATAATAGTAATTTATTCGTACGTAGTGCTTGACATACCTCAGGAAAACAAATGATGATGGTATGATCGACCTCCTCCCATCGCATGAACTCACGTATATTCTCCGGACACATCCTTAGCTCCGTCTCCTCCGGATAGAGCATGGACTCGGGATTGAGAATGACGCTGATGGTAGGCAAAGCAGATGTGCGTGTCAGCCACTAACACAACTCTCTGCACATCGGCCCAAATGAGACGTATGAGCTCCGGTCAACAACATCCTGTATGGGAGAGCTAGGAGCAGTGGGGCGTACGCCGAGAATGGGATGAGATTTGCTTGATGAGAAGTCACCATGTCGAGCCGTGTGCACTGAGGGCTACGAATATTTTCAAAAAAAAAGATATATGAAACACAGCCCAAATGATTTTGAATAAAAAGAACTAAATTTATTTACTTCTTACATCTACAAGGCCCACCAACTGTTTTGGCCATGCAACGAAGCTCCCTTCGCAATCGGCCACAGTCTCTATATGCTAAGTCGGAGAAGGAATGGTATATTCACCCATTCCAGGAAGCACAAGGGTCATAGAGACCTTAACCTGGTGGAGAAGGAGGGGAACACCGTGCATCATATCTCCAGGTGCACGTGGGAAAATCGATCCATGTGCCACTATGTAATCCGCTGGATCAGAAATCTTTAAGTAACAAGCAGCAACCTACAAAAAACAATTAGTAAACTAATGTCGGAAACAAGTAAACGTAAACCAAACTTGAAACCTAAATTACAAAATATATGTACCTCAGTGACATCGACGAAGTCAAAAAAATCTGTAGAGGCCTTGCTACTATGCTGCCCATAATGAGGTGTTACATAAGGTGTGTGCTGAGACATGGACGCAAAGTCTGGAGCACCCTCGAACACAGATAGTCCATACTGGTGTAGAAGGGAAGGAAGACGCTGCAAAAGATCCTCCTCAGTCATATAGTTACCATCAGGCTTACGAGGCTTCATGTTGCCTATGAAAACTTTACGTAAGCCCGAATATGACCCAACACCCCTCGTCTGCCACGGGTGCTCGGCAGTCCATAACGCTCTAGTCAGTACATCATTGTGCCCATCTGGCACAAAGGTACCAGCTACGACCTCTTTCTTCAGCTGGACCTACAGTTAAGAAAGAAAACAAGTAAAGAAATTGTAAGCAAATAATAAACAAGTAATAAATAAATATATTGACGTAATTGTAGATTATATGTTTACTATCCTATCACGAATCTCCATCAGTGCAGGGTCCGTAACTTCTGTCTGCCTCCCCGGGGTGTGACCTCGCAACCAAGAGTCCTCTCGTCTGAGCTGAGAACCCGTCTCGGTAGACAAACCAGCGATATCGGCATAAGCGGTGGCTTGAGAAGCAGCCAACTCATGCTGAAGCATGGCATATCCACCCCGGGCCATATAGTGCAGATAGGGATTCTTCTTCTGTATATCCTTGTTCTTCTCGCTCAAAGCCTACAACAATTGTTTAAAATAAATTAATATGTCAGTTAATTTCATTCAATGAAGGTAATTATGGTTTACCTTAGCTTCCGGAGTCCCCATCTGGATTTGAAACTCCTCCCAATGCTCTGGCTCTATGAAGGTGTAACGATCAAAGGGAGTCTTACCATAATGCTCCCCACCCTCCGTCAAAAAGGCTGCTTGTAAATATGTCCTGAAAGTGCGATGTCTCGACGCGGCAACCGTCATGACATGTCGGGCCCCACCGGGAGGTATCACATATATATCCTACAAGAAAATGAAGCAACAACTTATTATATATAGAACTATGTAACAATTAAAGTTAGCAGATTTAGATAAATAAAGTGGTACCTACCCGAACCCCATCTAGTATCGTGGCCTTCAGGTCTTGTGGGACTGCATGCCAATTATGATAAGTAATCGGGACTCTCGATCGGAATTCAAACCCTACAAGCTCAGAAAACTCCGAAACATACGGTCCACTTACAGGCTCCCCACGCTCCTACTCAAGCTCTATAGGCGGGTGACCCTCCCTCCTCCTCTTATACAACTTCTCACATTAGCTCCTACTCAAAGTCTAGTTATTGCGCAATCGTGAGAAATATTGATCTAATTTCCACTGGCAAGAAATGCTGAATTAAAACATGGCAATCGTGAGATTTAAGACCATTCAATTTCAAATCCTTTATCGACACACGACTCTTAATGTGTCTAGCATACCCTTGTGGAACCTTTATATCACGTAGAAATTGATAAAGAGTGATTTTTTCTTCTCTAGAAAGTGTGTAGCAAGCAGGAGGGAGAAATGTGCGATGACCTTTTTCTTGCGGTCCAAGCTCAGTTCGAATGCCCATGTCTATTAAGTCTTTTCTGGCATTAACACCATCTTTAGTCTTGTCAAGAACATTTAGGAGGGTGCCAATAAGACTATCACATACATTTTTTTCTATATGCATCACATCAAGTCAATGTCTGACACATAAGCACTCCCAATAAGGTAGTTCCCAAAATATTGATCATTTCTTCTAAATAGGACCGTTTGGATCAACTTTCTGTGTCTTACCAAATGTATGGTTTATGTTCTTCAAATTCTCATGCAATGCTTTGCCACTCAATACTTTCGGAGCAACCTCATTTTTTGGTTGACGATTGAAAGCTTTTCTCATGCGATGGTAAGGATGTTGACGTCTTAAAAATCGGTGATGACCTAGGAAGACTGTTTTTTCATTCTTTAGCCACACACTAGAAGTATTCTCCTCACATATCGAACATGCATATTTTCCCTTAATCTTATAACCATATAGGTTACCGTATGTTCGGTAGTCATTGATTGTCCAAAGAATCATAGCACGTAACATGAAACACTCTTGACGATAAGCATCAAATACTTTGACACCATGAATCCACATTTCCTTCAAGTCATCAATCATTGGGGCTAAGAATACATCAATTTCATTACCCGGTTGTTTAGGCCCAGGTATTTACAACGATAGCATGATGTACTTGCACTTCATGCACAACTCTCGAGGAAGATTGTAAATGACAAGCAGTACCGGCCAAGTACAATGTTGCGTACTCAAGCTTCCAAAAGGATTGATTCCGTCAGCACACAATCCCAATCAAAGGTTTCTCCCCTCGTTCCCAAACTCCAGAAATGTGTAGTCAATCGTCTTCCACTGTGGGGCATCGGCAGGATGATGCAGGGTGCCATTATCTTTTCGCTGCTCTGTGTGCCACACTAGATTCTTAGCGTCCTTTATCGAAGCAAACAAATTCTTGAACCTTGGTATTATTGGAAGGTACCACAAAAGCTTAACTGGAGTCTTTTTGGTTTTTTTCATATTGTCCTTGTTATGAGTCATTTTGGTTGACTCCTTGTATCTTGGAGAAAAACACTTGGGACATTCGTTGAGATCCTCGAACTCATTTCGATATAAAATGCAATCATTAACACAAGCATGTATCTTCTTGTAGCCTTCACCAATCGGAGACATCATTTTCTTCACCTCATAAGTGGACGATAGCAATTCGTGTCCATCTGGAAGAAGTTTACCCAACAAACTTAATAAAGACCATAATCATAATCATATACTACCATCTGTGTCCCTAATTAAATGACATTTATATTGTTCATGTAATAAAATTTTATTCATTTTTTTTCTTATTATAAATATAATAATAATAATAATAATAATAATAAATAAGAATGATAATAAACAATTAATAAAAATGATGATGATGATGATGATGATGATGATGATGATGATGATAATAATAATAATAATAACTATAACAATTATATTAAGAATACCATGTAAATATACATCAATAAAGTTTTGAAATTTTTCTCAGTTTTTTCCAATTTTTTCAGTTTCTTCTAGTTTCTCTAAATATCCAGCTTTTGTTTTCAGTCCTAAACAACAAATTCAAAGTGGAGACAAACAAATACTATGCACATGGAATGAATATATGTAAATTAAAATCAATCAAATTTAAAGTAAAGAAAACAATCATTTTTATGATTGTAAGCCCTAGCTAGAAAAAGATTTGCCATTTTTATGATTATAAGCCCTAGCTAGAAAAAGTATCTCACTATCTTCGTTTTTACTCCGAATAAATATCTATTCCAATTTTCTTGAAGGTGAATTTCAGTTTATATATATATATATATATATATATATATATATATATATATATATATATATATATATATATATATATATATATATATATATATATATAGATTTTGGTTCTGGTGAGAATGAGATCTTAGGAAAGAAATAAGAATGAATATGAGTCCTTGGATCAACAACTTTAATTTGACCGTTTCTATAATTTTAACTCGGATGGGTATTATGGTCTTTTTTACTTGGTCAAGATTTTCTCCCATTCATTCGTCTCTATTAGATCCGTATAATCAGGGACTAACACCTCTTCTCTCATCAATTCTCTCATTCTTCAATTTTCTCTTTTTCTCAAATTTTCATTAATATTTATCATAAATATTGTGATGCAGAGCAACAATTGCAAGGAGGACGATGAATAGTGACAATTTGGAGAATGGAAGCACGAGGAAGATGATGAATAGTGAAGGTTTCGAGAACATCGGCAAGAAGGAGGATGATCCTGATGTCGATTCTAGCGCCAACAATCTTTTAATGCGGAGGGGATTTGTCGATCGGAAATTGTAGCCGGTCGCGGCGGGGCTGAGCCGCCCAGTGGCATCGATCCTCTAGTGCGGAGGTGCCTGAGGCCACTATGAGAAAGGCTGAAGACCTAGGCTCGAGCACCAACAACAATGGCAAGAGCTTTGAAAATAAGAGGGGCGGCGGTAATCATTCTCCTATAATGCATTCTTTCATCACAGCAATCTAATATAATGCATTCTAGTAGTCAATATAATGCATCCTGTCAATATTGTATGTGGAGTATTGTTGTTCTACAATATTTCAACCTTGGATTATATTCCTATGATGTCAGTGTCATATTTCTAGGTTTCCATTTTTAGGAAAAAGATATATTGTTTAGCTAATTCGATATAGAAGAATTCATTTTTTATGACATGACGTTTTTGTACTTTTTCCTTGGATTTGCTTTGTGTTTTAGATCATTGAAGGTTGCAGTAATTCCCTTTGGGGTTGTAGAATTCATTAGAACATATTGCAATTTTCAGGCGTAATGCTATCGGGGTGCCCACCAGGTGTTCGATGTAATTCTAAGGAGAAATTCATGAACGGAAATCGAGCTTTTTGGGACACCTACTGCATTGTCAAACTCAGTGCAATCGTAGTTTGATATTGTGTTCTTTGTTTGTTCAAATTAGTAAAATGAGTGTATTTAAGTTTTTTGTAGTCATGAATGTTATGGTTTTTTAACATTTTATCTCTTAATGTAGTTGGTTTATACTTCGTTGCATTTGGAAAAAAACCCATAGATTTTTCGTTATTTGCTCAAGAAATTTTTTTTCTTTCATGCGAGGTCATTTAATTTTCATATGTAACTATGGTTGTAATGATATGTGTCATTAGATACGGAGTACATAGTAATGCATTCTGTGTTCTTAGTACTGCACACAACCACCAACTAGGATGATGTTCATAACTTTGTAGTCACATTAGGCTTAAGATTGTTGTCATTATGTGTTTGTGGGTTGACTCTCTCCACACTCTTCATTATTGTATTTTTTTTCTTTTGGATTCTGAGAATAAGATGCCGCGATTCATTATGTTTGTAGTTTGTATTTTCAATGATTACCAGTAACAAGTTTATTTAGTACTTGCCCTCCCGTTTTTCACAATTAGCCATGGTTGTAATAATATGTATAATCTAATGCATTGTAAAATATGAAAGATGCATAATTTAATATGTGGAGTAAGTGTATGCACGAGATTGAAGAGTGAAACTTCTAAAATTTTTGTCATGTTTTGCTTGAATCAACCAGATTCTAAAATGGGATTATTTGTTTTTTGAGTTCATAATTGTATATCGTTTACTGTTTTTTTATGAGTTTTGGGTTTTTAATTAGAGGAGAATTGTATTAATTTCAGGTTTAGTTTAGTATTCTGGTGACCCAGATGCTTCTCAACTTTACGTGGTGCATTACTATTGTTGTGTAATGCATAGTGGATTTGTTATGGTGCATTTACTTGGTAGCTAAAGTTCACAAGTTTGTTCTTCACTTTAAATGCAATGCGTGGGAGAAGAAACTATACAGTTTTCGTCTCTATATTTATTAGGTTTTGTTCTAATGAATGTTTTCTTTTAATCAAATCTTTATTTGTTGTGTACCAAAAAAACTCTTTTTGTAGGGCTCTTGTTCATCTCTTACGCGTATTACTGATAAAATTAGAATCCAAAATTGAATGGAATAAAATTTTTGAGAACTCTAGTTTTACAGTCTAAATTTTTTCTGAATTGAAAGTTGATATTTTATGGTGTGGTATCTTATTCAATTCAATCTTTTCGACATTGATTTATGTGTCACAGGTACGACATTGCCATAGTTTTTTGATGCATTTAGTTTGCATTTGTGTACATTCTGGTTAAACATTATGGGATTCAGTGTAACACTAAGGACTTATGGTTCATGCTTAAAATGCATGATATACACCCTTGATATGCATTACAGAGAATATAAGATGCATTTTAAAATATTTAAAATGCATGGAATGCACCCTTGATATGCATTACAGAGAATATAAGATGCATTTTTACTTTAGATAATGAATTCTGTTATGGTGCACTTTAAGAATCCAAATTAATGGAATAAAATTAAAGGACAAATCAAAGTGCATATAACGA